TTCACTCGCCACAAGAGTATCAACACTTCAAGGATGATGGAAAAATTGCAGCAGCATTGTGCGACTGACAGGGAAAATATTACCAGTTTGGTAGCCTTTTTTGTTTAGAATTTTCCCGTCGTGTGATATTTGTTGCTAGTAACATATTATATGGATTTTTTTTATAAGCAGAATGTTCTCCAATCTCAAGGCACTTGATGGAACCCCCTCAAAGAGAGAACTGGAGAAGGAAGATGTGGCCAAAATGAGAGATCATCAAGTATCACGAAGATCTGGTATCTCAGACTTGTCAATTTTCCATTATCTGGGCATTGAAAATGCACTAATTTTCTTACTAAATTTTATCTCGTTAACTGAACTAGAGGTTATGCACTTTTATCCTTGCGGTAGGCGAACTACCACGGAAGATTTTATAATGCCCATGATCTAGAAAATATTTTATTTTTGCTGAGGCTAATGGTAAACTCGGGGAGTTCATTCACCCGCGACCATGCTGCCCTATTCAGTGATCCGTTTCTGGGTCAGAATAGAAGAATGTGAAGTACTGCCTTGACAGCAAACTAGGACAGCTAAATTTCATAGGCATATCTCCCCCCTCCGTGTCAGAAATAAATCAATTTCTCTGGACAAGAAACAAGGTTTCTAACCTGGTTCCCTGAATCGCCATCAGGCACATGGGTAACACTAAAACACCAGTTATGAATCTAATAACGCCTCACAAAATGTCATATAGTTATTGGAACTCCGTGCGAATAAAGGTCCACTATGTTCGATTACTCTACCGCACTGAGCTTCTCACGTCTCAGTTTTTCCTTGATTATGTCATATGCCATATCTAAATCGGTATGCTCATTGGTGCACACTTTGAACGGGGAAGGTAAATATTTCGGCTTGGTCACTATATTACACATGGTTCATACGATGATCTAAACGCATTCTCGTCACACCAACTGATCAACGTAGTCCTTAGGTGCCCAGACTACTTAAAGGTAAGTGAGCCACCTGCATCTGGTGTTTTCTTCTGATGTCCTTCGCAAGCTTCGACATGTTACTCACAGGAGGGGGAGCTGACGAAGTACCGTGAAGCTTCAGAGGACGAGCAGGCCCACCTTCGAACATTTCAGGTAACGAAAGAACCACTAGCAGAAAGGTTATTTCGATTGACGAGCCACCGCTCAGTTAACGAGCTGTCAGGGCATGCGTGTGTGCCTGTGTCCGCCGTTGAGTCTTGCTCCTATGGCACAGCTTTTCGCTTGCCTGCAGCCAATCAGTGAACTTGTGCAGTTTGATTGGCTACGTTTCGCAGGACGAGTTTTTCACATGACGAGCTGGCTGCCGGAACGGGTTAAACTCGTTAACCGAGGTCTCGCTGTAGTTGGTTTTGTTGTTAGCAATAACTTTGGCTTTGGACTCTTGTTGCCTCACACACCGACGCGGAAAGTCACAAGTGTATTCGTTTTCGGAGAATAATTTAAAAAGGCCTTTTATTTATTCTCCGTTAATTCATTCGTCAGAGTGGTAGGTGGACAGCATCGAACTTACCAATTGAGATGTCAGTTACCTCACTCTGTTTATCATACTCCATTAAAAAACCATAAAACTTTAAGCACACACGTTACGAAGGTCTTTAGGGCCTGCTGTTTAGAAAAAGTCAGCAGTGGTTAACGGGTATCAGAAGACCCCGATATAACTGGACGGACTTTCCGCTTAAATATTACTTATATTTTTAGGGGAATAAAACAACCCTTCTAAGAAAAATTACAGCTTTGTGCACACTGCATGATTCCCTGCATAAGCATATGGTCAAGTTTGCAACAAATATCACGTCAAAAGTAGGTCACAGGGTAGACTGAAAAAGTAGCACAGTCATGAAAACGGACAAACATTCTCATATCTGCTGCTGTCCTTTCCTCTTAACCTGTTTGTGTATTTTATCGTACTTCTGACATAAATCTATGATATTATTAGACCATCGATCAACAGTCGAAGGGACTCGTTCACTCTTCCCCATCTCGGCAAGCAGTCCAAATGTACCAGACTCCAACCAGGACTCCCGCAGTCTTCACAACAACAATAATAACAGCAACAATAGTAGCCTCCAGCCGCCGAATTCTTCGCGCACCGAAAATGCATGTTATCAAAATGCATCAGTTATGTCCATTAGGACTTTCAGCGGACCGGTCACGAGTCCATCCACTCTCACAAAGCAACAATACATAGAACTTGCAGCCATTCCCAGCGGCCCGCTCGGGTCAGGGCGTTCAAGACCCCTGGTACCCTGGACAGAACCCTCGGCTCCAGTACCCAGTCCTACAGCAGACATGCTGGGCGAGTTCTTATCAGTGGAGGAGGATCCGAGCGGTCTAGGCAAGGAGAAAGTCGACAAATCTGATGGTTCAGGTAATTGGATCAGGGTGGCACAATTGTCCTCTGTCAGTGAGCCTGGCAGCACCCTCAGAACTTCTCGTCGGTTATGGACGTTCCTACCGAGGCACCGAAGGAGGTAAATACACATATGCATCAATTTCCTTCTTGTTACTAGTAAATGCCATAAATATAGCTTCAGCAAAACAACAACTCACTAATAAACAACAGGTAATTGAAGGAAAGGCTGGAACAGTTGACGACTAGGAGGGCCTGGCCGACAGAAAATAGAACAAAAATCCTACTGACTTGTTAATCTAATCGACCTTAGACTTAATCATTTGGTAAGGATGACTTGTATGGTCATCTCAACAGAAAATAGGAACAGGAAGGTCGCATAGTAAACTTAGTTCTGCGCCAAATTCCACAAAATTAGGTTAAAGGTTAAGGTAAGTGTTAGGATTATGTTTAGGGTCCCGTTCAATTTTGGAGTGGTTAAGGGCAGAGTTGTGGTCAGGGTCGTGATTATTTTAGGGTTTAAGATTTGGTTCGTGTTAACTGTACGATTTATGTTTAGGGAGGGGGTGTTAGGATTAAGATTCAGGTTATAGTCCAGTTTTGTGTTAGAATTAAGGCACAGGGGTATGTGTCCCTCCTGAACTTTATTGCAAGGCTACATATTTTAAGTGGGTGGGACGTTTCTATTCCCATGTCCTGTTTAGGCAGCCATACAAGTCATCCTTACGGGTCTGGTCTCCGGATTCGGAGCAACCGTCTGGGAATCATGCGAGTCAATGAGGAATTGGAGAGACCACCGGAGCAATCAAAATTCGCGGACGTTTGATAATGCGAACAGTTGTCAATATCGCCGAACATTCATCAGCAGTTGGTGACAAGTGGAGAAAGATAAAATCATTTTCCATCCTCGGGTCTCCGCTCAGTTTAAGGTCGACTAGCTTGGCAGGTCAGTCGAGCTTCTGTTCGACTCGGGACTCTCAGCTTGACTAATTTAATTAAGAAACCGTGTCAGGACCAACCGAAACCTAGCCTTCAGTCCTCTTTATATAGATGGCTAAAGTCGAATGTACCTTTCAGCTTTATTCCTTGCAGGAAAAACAGCCAGCCACAACCCCATTACGATGTTTAGCCTCAGTTTTTCTACCTAGTTTGGAAGAATAGGTGGATAAGGAGTAAGTGGATCAGACCTACATTTATTTAGAGTTATGCATGGCTGTTAGGGATACAGGTCGAATCACCCCATTAAGTGTTTTGCAAATATTCTTCGAAACAAACCCTGTATTCTGTTTGTCTGAAAGGCTGTCTGCATTTACTGTTCCATCACAACGACCTGCTTTCTATCGTATGAATGGCGTTGAGATTGGATGACTGGCTACCTTGGACCTTAGCAGCCTACTGAGTAAAAACGGGAAATAAACTGTAAACAATATTTGTTTTCTGCGTAACAGCAACCGAAGTTCCGATGATCATATGAACCGACTTAGGGGTTTAATATTCTTAGGTTATGGTCTCCGACTTTATCTCTGATGAGTAGTGTCTCTATGGTGTGAAAAGAGTGATCTTGAGGCAGGATCGGGACGATCGAATCCAGAATTTACGTATTTACCTACTGCTCTGACATCAGTTTACGGTGGTGGCATGTCAGTCACAGCTTTAGTGTAAATGAACTAACATTCGTGCTACTGTTTTTATTAAGTAGACTAAATATTTAAGTTAAAAAGAATCCAATGCTTTTAGGAGAATGAAATTCCTCATAAAACCTGCCTCCCATCACACCACACCTACTGAACTCTGGATGAGAAAGTCACACTTCAGCAGTTACCTTTCTGGCGTACGACGACCTTCGTCTTCAAAAATGAACAAACACTTTGAGAGCATCTCTTCGCCTGCAAGTCCCTTGCGTCACAGTGACCTGCCCACAAGTGTAAACGGAGACGTCTGTGAGGATCCTAGCGGTATGGTCCTCCCAGCATTCCCAGAAGACAGCTCGCCTGCCAGTGCTTCTGTCTACCAGTCGTTTTCATCGAATGCCACCAATTCTTGGCCACCCTCCCCTTCGTTCTCAGTCAGTGCTGAGGGAACCCTGCA